CAGACGAAATTGCATCCTAGTTTCTACAGAATCTCGCTACAGCAAGACTGCACCTAGAAATGCACCCCAAATTGTCACTCTGTCACTACAGCGAGACGTCTCTCGCTACAGCGAGAAGGCGACAGTTCTGGTCCTTCCTCTTAGGGCCCTCTCGCTACAGCGAGAATCTTCTCGCTATAGCGAGAACAACCCAGTATCACGCCCTGTACTTAGGCACTCAGCCCATCTCAACCCTATCAAATCATGCATACACATATATATTCACATATTCACAACATATATATAAAAATACACACCTCCATATACTTAATACACATAAACATCATTATCAAGTAAATCAACGCACGTATATATATATATATATACACACACACATTTAGATTTATATAAATAACAATAATTAATATTACCAAAATTCGAGATGTTACAAAGAGAAAAAAGAAAAAGAAAAAAATAAATTTTTTTTTGCCAAAGTTCAAAGAGGAGAAAAATATGTCGAGAAACATGTCAAAACATAAGGGAAGAAAGAAAGAGAGGAAGAAAATGAAAAAGAAAAAAATAATAAAAATATTTGTCAGAATATATGTAACACCCTACTGCATTTAATTTATGCTTAAGTCATAATTACTTAATACAGTAGTTGCATTACAGTAATAAAAATTTTGTTTATTCTGCTCATTCATTTTGTGTTGATTTAGTAGTAATTATTGGATGTATAAAAGAGCGAGATGTTATAATAACAAAAATAAAAGAAAATCAAATATGGAATAATCTAGATAAACATAGTAATTAATTTAACTTATACATTTTACAGAAAAATAACTAGACATATTTATATATATAGAGGGCACCATGTTATTTACATATAGTCAGGAATACATATAAGGACCACTTCATACAAAAAGATCAGTGGCCCAATGTCATCAAAGTGCAGTTCTAACAAGTTCTCACTGGACAATTTAGAACCAAGGTTAGTGTCCTACAACTACTATCGTGGCCCACTGCATATCCAGGAACTCAATGTAGATCATTGTTGTTGCGTTCATCATGCAGATCTGAAAATGAAATGGAAACTAAGTAGGGTGAGAATTTTGAAAATTCTTAGTAGGGCTGTGTATTTCTATGTGACATCGCTTTTATTCTCAGTTGCTTCAGTTTTTATTTAAATAAAGGGTTGTTAAACCAATAAGGAAATCTTTCAATTATGATTATTGAAAAGATGGCCTGAAACAAAGTAAATTTTATGTCTAACATTTGTAATACACAAGATCATAATGATTATGATACACATATACAAGAAATTAAATAAATAATTAAAAGATTCAATATGAATCATACATGTGACATAACAATACTTAAAGTTGTAATTGAAAGTAACATTGAAATGAATTAATATCAATTAAAATACTTTCACTCACGTAATAATGTACTTAATTCTCATATATGTTCCTATCCTTGGTCCTCTGGGAGTTCTTGGCCATAAGACTCCTGGGTAATAGTCTGTTTATTAGGATCGAGCTCGTTCCTATACAGGATTTGTCAGGTTTACTTTCCTTAACGCTTCCACGGACTTATTCTCCTTAACTTTTTATCCGGGGCTGACCTAAGTGATATAGGACTTTCTTATAACTTTCAAGCATCTTAAACTTTCATAACTTTCATATTATATCTCACATATCTCTTTGAAATTTTACAATTTATCCATAATTCTTAGAAAATTTGTGTAGCATAACAGATCATATTTGCTTTACAATGAATAGTGCCAGCTAACAAACAAACATTCACATATCATAGTAAATAAATAAATAAACAAACAAAACATTTAAATTCACAATTCTTTCCTTAAAGGGATAAATTTTACCTTGTTTTATTTTTACTATGTTTATTGATATATGACTTCAATAGACCTGAATTTTTTATATGTTGAACCCTTATTTGTTTATTCTCTAACGTAATTGGTCCCATTCAGTTTTGACAATTGCAACTCAAGATTTTTGCTTTCTACTATGACCTGTCCTGTGATTAGCTAGAACAACACTCAAAAATGTTAAAATCCACCAAAATTCAAATTCTAAGTGTATGACTGCTAAATTCAGTCATTTTAAAGTTAAGGAATAAAATTTTATTATCCAAAAAAGTTTCATTTCATTTGGTTAAATAGAGCTCAAGCTATAAGGTTCTAAAGTTGGGTGTTATAGGTTGTTCTGTTTCTGACTCAACAGCACTAGAGGTAACTTTGGAAAAATTATGGGAACTGTTCAAAATGAATTGGACTCTGAAATATTTATGGTATAAACTAATATATCTTATATTTTTAACAAATTTTGTTTCACCTCAATCCAAGTTATGTGGAATGAGTTATGTCTTACGCAAGCTTACCTGCCCAAAATCAAAATCTGGAACTTAAACCAAACTTCAAAAATTCATAACTAATTCTATACTAATCTAATTGCTTAATAATTTATATCTATATAAATCTTTGGATGTCTAGTTTAAGTTAAAAATATTTTCATAATATTTAAATAGTAAATAATTGATCGACATAGTATATTTGTACAGAAACCATAGAAAATTCTATTTTCAGACTTGTTGTTTCTCTCTCTTTGTTTTTCTACTTGATCTACTTTCAAACTAACCCAACCCACCATTAATCCGGCTATACATAATAAAAAAACACAACATAAATCATGGATTAAGATATTGAAAACATAAGCTAGGCAGCCACACATATCCACATAAGTATAACAACAAAGATAGAACCCTACCTCCTTTGAGCACCAATTTTATTCCAAAGATGTTTCTAATTTGCAAGTGTAGGTGAGTTTGAGAGAAAAGTTTATGGAGGTAAGAAAAGGAAAAATATGGAGAAGAGAATAAGAGAGAGAAGTGATGAATTTATAAAGAGATAAGGGAAAGCAAAATATCCAAGTGGCTATGATGAATAGAGTTGATTGATTCATAAATCATGTGGTCTCAAATGAACCACATAGTTGATTATGAGCTATTGGATCAAGGCGTGGTGGATGAATTCTCCACCGTTAGATTTAAGGTAAATAATATTATTTTATTCTGATAATTTAAATTACTCACATTATATCGGTTTCTCTCCTAAGAAGAAATTCTACTATAAATTTTTAATTCTAATTTACCTAATCAATATAGATTTGAATTCTAATAAATATTCAATTAATCTCTTATTAACCTTATTCATGTAAATTAATCAAAAAATCAATTAATATCATAAAACAGACACTTAAAATTTTGGACGTATATGGTACTTTTGTAATAATTCATAAAAAAGAAAAATAAGACAAACAATAATATTTTAATATAGTAAACATTTTAAAATAAAATAAATAAAAAACACTTTAGTAAGTTAAGAAAACGAACTGAAAAAAAAAAACTAGATTGAAATAAAATTAATAGTTAAGAGTTAAATATACTAATTAAACTTATATTTATTTCTTAACATTTTTTTTATTTGATGTTTAAAATTTTATTTTAAAATTTTAATATTTTTTATGTTATATTAGTCGTTTGTGATTCATAATAAAAGATTCATTTTAATCATTTAATTTTATAAAAATACTTAAAGAATACAAGATTTAGTGAAAAAAGTTTCCTTATAGCAATTTATCATAACTAGCTTAGTAGCACGTATAATGTACGAGTATTTTATTTTACAATAAACATACATATAATTTAATAATTAAAAATAAATAAATTTTATATTTTTTAAATGTTTATATATTTATATAATAAAATTATTTTAAATAATATTTAAAAAAATTAAATTAAATCTATAGCTACCAATAATATACATCAAAATAATAAAAATTTCATAAAATAAATAATTTTAAAATATAATTTATTTTAAAATAATATTTTTATTGTATAGTTTCAAAAAATTAATTAAATATTAATAATCAATATATATTAATAATCATAAATTTAATAGATAGATCTTTGAAAAGTAAACTTCAAATTTAAAATATTAGAAAAAAGGATAATTTTTTAAATGTAAAAATACACATTTATAAAAAAATTAAAATTTATATAAGATAATAAAGAAAATTTTAAATAATAAATTTAATTTCTAAAATTTAAAATAAAATTAATAAAAATATGAATAAAAATAAAATAATTATAGTAGAATAATATAATTTACAAATTAATTTAATTAATTTTAAAACTTAAAATATACATTTGACGAAGTGGTTGTTCTATTAATTTTTTTTACTTTTTAAATAGTAGAGTCTCATTTATAATATAAATTTAATGATTGTTATAATTATTTTAAAAAATATTTTTAAAATGAAAGTAATTTATCCTAATACAAATATATTATAAATTATTATTTATTGCTCTATTAATTTTTTACTTTTTAAATAGTAAAGTTTCATTTATAATATAAGTTTGATATTATGTTATAATTATTTTAAAAAATATTTTTAAAATGAAAGTAATTTATCATAATATAAATATATTATAATTTACTATTTATTTAAGTTTTATATGCAATAGAATTGACAGTTATTTAAGATACTTTAAACATTTTTATATTATTTTTAATGAATTTTTATAGTGTAATATTAATGACAATTTTAAGTATTAAATATTATATAATTCATTAATTTTAATATTTTTTAATAAAATTTATTTTCTTATATCAATTTATATTATTTATTACTATAAATAAAATTAATTTTAAAGATAGGATTAGAGGATGTAGCTTAATAGAATCAGAACATAAAAAAAAAAAAAAATTAGCATTTGAAAATAATATAAATATAAATGATAACCATAAAACAGCAAATTAGTGAAAAATAAAAGTGAACCGAGTTCATATATAAATATATTTTAAAGTGAGTGCATATTATAATAATTGAATGAGTAAATTTGAGGCGTGCACCTTGCATTATCCACCCCTAAACCCAACTATATAATTCGCAACTGTACAGCCACTCAAAATCGCTGTCTTTGTGTCGGTAAAGGTATGTGCCGATGCCATTTATTTTTCTTGCTAGCTTTCGACATCGCCGTTCTAAATCGTTTCATGCTTCTGAGGATTTGCTTTACAATATTATTCAGAATTTGAAATTTCATTGATTTTCGTTCAGTTGCTAATTTGCTTTCAATCGCGAAGATGAAAAGTATGTTATTCAATGTAAACTGTTAGTGAGATTGGATAAAGAGCCGTTTGAATAGAGTTTATTCAAGTTTAAATATTTTTGTTATTTTTTATTAGTTTGTCGTGCGGAAAAATCTCTATTAGGAGTCTTCGGTTACATGATTGTGCAATATATTGTGAATTGTGATTGACTTTTGAGCATTCTTTATTCAATTGTGATTCTAGGATTGCACCTTTGCTATTTCTGATTCACATCAGAGCGACTGAGTCCTCTACAAAAGAGTTAGCATTTTAATGGGTGTTTTCAGTTATTCTTTAAAAAACAAATCAGTTGTTAAATTTATTTCCTGTATGGACATTTATGCATCTTTTTGCGATCTGTTGCTTGTTATTCATGTTATTAGATGTGCTTATGCCTTATGGGGATAAAACGGAATTGGGAACTGAGATGTGGTGTTATCTTTTATGCTTGTTTGAATTCCTAATCTTCTATCAATTTAGCAGATTATTGCCAACAGGTTAGTGCATACAGAGACCATAGATCTGATACATATAAACTAGCAACAGGTTTCCCTTGATGTTAATTTACATGAAGGCATCCAAGTTGGTCTTGGTTTGAAATTGGGCTATGACGTTTTATTAGAAAGAGAGAGTTGAGAATTGGGAATGGGGTTTGCCAAAGCATGAGTCAGTTTGATGCTGTTCCACAGTGTTGATTTTTTTAAGTGTCTCCTAATTATTTTTGTTCTTGTTATAGTAGTTATCCGGGGGAGCTTTATAACCTCTCTTCTCTTCTAAGTAACGTGAGATTTTGCATTCAACATTGATTTTTCCTGCCTTACTTTTTGTTTATTTATTGAAAGGAAACGATGAAGGTTATAGGTTCTTACCAGGATCCCACCCTAAGAAAGTACTTAAATGCCTGAGATGAGATTACTATAGGCATATTCCAATCTACCTTTAGAAATTTGGTTTACCTTAAGTAAACTGGTTTTGTTAAAATCTGATTTAAATGCTTATGGATTATGGAGGAATAACATTTTGGTACCTCAACCTTTAGTTTGATATCATTTTTACACCATATGTTGATTCTGCATTGACAGCCTGTTATTAGAAAAAACAGGGTGCATTTATATAAACTAGTACCTGTTGAATCAGAGGACTAAAAAAAAAGAGCTCTCTGATAAAAAGGGTGCATTTAAATAAATTTTTCATGATTTATATCAGGATACTTAAAAGATTCAATAACAATAAGTCATTTTAGCTTCTCAACTGTAGTAGTGACTGTTTAGGTGATGCTTGTTGCTGAGTTTAGAAAGGCCTCTAATGAGAGGTAGTAGAAGGTATCATGACCCTTATAATAATAGGTGCTGTAATGACTTCAGAACCAGAAACCACAGCATCTTCCCCAAAATTTACCTAGCTGGCGCAGCTAATGATTGTGGGTATTAGACAATAGGAGAATTTTTTTCCAGCGGACCAACCCAATGATTTAGATCAATTGAAGGGATAGTTTGGTCATAACATTCTATGCATGGCAGACACTGTGTGTCTGTGTCCATGTAAGATCACACTTGTATCAGCTATGTGTTTAAATAAAGAAATTGAGTTCCATGGTTGAGGCAAATTTAGAGCAACTTAATGAGTAATCTTGTCTTTCATTACTACCATGTCATATTGTGTGATACCGATAGTGAATGTGGTAGGTTGTTAGATTTGCATAAAACAGAATAAAATTAAGCTCTCTACATTTTATATTGTAATTAGAAACGTGTAGGTTTTAGTTATTTCGTCAAACAGAAACACTAGTACAGTTAAATCCAAGTGCAAAACAACTTGATAAGAAGGAGCTTTTGACATTAGTGCTCTTATTACATGCTATTTTCCTATAAGTTGATGAAACAATTCATCAAAAACAGGACTGAAGTAATTTTAGTATTGCTTGCTGCTTCTGATTTGCACAAACAATTTAGTAGAACAACCGAACCGAATTTTCTGATTTCAATGTTTGTAATGAAATCCATGAATCCTGTCTTATAGGACTGAGGCTGACATTATTGGGGATTTCAGTATTGAACACCTTCCCATTCACCTCCCTAACTGCAACAAAAATCACCTCTGCTAACTCTACTCGAATACCTTGTACTATCATTTATTTTTCAGAAATCTTCATTCAGATTATTTTGCCATGGGAAACAAATTCGGGAAGCAAGAAAAGAACGACAAAGTATTACTCAAGATTGTACCTCCTATAGACCAGACATATGCTAAATGGGTCGCCAAAGACGTTGCAAGAGTTCACGGTTTCACTCCAAAACGTACTCGTGCAGTGGAGCCACCAGAACATTATGTAGAATACATGAAGTTGAATGGATGGTTGGATGTGGATTTGGATGATCCTGATCTTGCTCATTTATTCAAGTAGATAATTTCTATATGCGATATAGACAATTAAGGTGACTTTGTAGCTGAATTGTGATTAAATTAAATTGTTAAGACAGCGAATGAAATGATAGGCGTTGATGCTTTTGGCTGTGAAATTCCTATAGAATGAATGACTGTAATTCCAAGTCCTTATTGTTGATCAACGATGGGTTCAGAAATGTTCTATAGGTTATGCCAGACTTTATGCTCAATCATGTGCGTTATTATCAAATGTGTTTGGCGTAAGAAAGTAGCTTATGATTTATCACAAGTTAACATAAGGAAGTTCATCCACATTTGTGATAGCCGTCTAATGGTATGTCCAATTACTCTGACTCAGTTCTTAACTAACGCGGTTTGGTCACAATGAATAGTATATGGCAATGGGAAATAATTATGATTTTTGCCAATAAATTGCAAGAATAATGTTTGATGTACAACTGCATTAACTTCACCTAACATCTTTGAGGCATCAAAATCAAAGTGTACATACATACGAAATAAAATAGGCTACATTATGTTTTGAGTATAGAAATTGTTTGAAAATCAAATTAACATATTTTAAAGAAAATAAATTTTATGTCATATTATTAAAAGTCGTGTATCATGTGATTTGTTAAAATAATTAATGTCTAAATAATGATAAAAATTAAAATGATTAATAATGGGATATATTAGAAAGTAAAATAATTAATGATTATATATGTTGAAGAATAAATTGATTGAAGGATTATTTTGATGAATTCTAAAATAATAGAGACTAAAATTATTCACGATTACATATATTGAAGACTAAAATGATATTTTACTTGATTTAAAGAATATTTTAATGAATCTTAAATATAATGAAGACTAAAATAATAGTTTACTCTTAATAAAACTCTAAAATACATTAAAAAAAGATATATATAATGAGAATAAAGGTAAGGTGCTAGACTTACTTTCATTAGTATAATTTATGTTTAAGAAAAATTAAACTATTAATATAAATATCGTAGGTCGGTACAAATAATATAATACATCATTCAAATAGATGGATTTACTAATAGTATATTAGTTTCCCCTGACAAAGGAATTATTTTTAATGTACATCATAGTTTTAGTATAAATTTGAAATGTATATACAAATAATTTAATTTTTTTATTACATAAAGAATATTATAATAAAAAACTCATCACTTAATTGTTAATATATAATAATTTTTTATAATAATACATAACCAAATAATAAACTATATGTTTTCACACAAAAAATTTATAATATTTATATGAATTTTCAAAAGACAATTTTGGTGGAAGGGAAAAGGGGCTTAGCCTTCCGGTTTAAAAAGTTATAATTTAGTTTTCAGAATAAAAGAATCATGTAATTTTTCATTAATTTTGTTCGTTAGGTGTTATTATTTTTTGTTTACTTTGTGGTCACTCTAAATTATGACATTTTTTATTTTAGTGTTCTAAATCTCTCAAGTTTTTCATCGAATTATAAATTATTTTAGAGACAGGAAGGCACTTAACGAACGAAATAATGAAAACTTAACACACACACACACACACAGTACATATATGCCAAAATAATTTAAGGACTAAATAACCTTTCTAAAAACGAAACCAAAGGTAATTAAATGATAAAAGCATTACATATGTGAACTTATGTGTGTAAGTAGCATTATACAAAATGGAAATTTGTATCCTACATTCCAAATGATTGTAAAATTAACTACACTATCAATGTTAATGTGTGAGAAAAGTTAACTACACTACTAATTAATAAATAAAATAATATTTTAATTTATTTTATTGATTCAATGCAAATTATTATCCATTATTGTAATTTTAAATATATTCATAATTTATTTTTTTAATTATTTTTATATATACAAATATTTAAACTAATATATATATATATAATTACACTATAGCATTATTATAACATTACATAACTATGCTGTAAATAAAAATGCATGATTATATATTACACATAATTTTATAATTTAAATAACAATTTATTTTTTAATTCTTACTTTTGTTGTTCATTTATGTGAATTGTCATCAGTTCTTTTAATTATTTTAATTTACAAAAAATATTTTAAATAATAAAATTTAATATAATATAATTAATAATTTTTTATATGTTAAAATGTTAATATTAACATTTTGTTCAAAATAAAATTTTATATCTTTTATTATGATAAAATTGTATTTTTTACATCAATCATCAATATGTATGTGTATAAAGTTAACTACAATTTGGTATTAAATGTTATATTTAATGTTTTTTATATATACTTCAATAATATTACAATAATTACTTATTATATATGGATTAAATAAGTAATTTTAATATCTCAAATAATATGTAAAGTACATTAAAATAGTAGCTAATAATGAAAATTAAAAGTCACTTTCGATAAATTTTTAAACGATAATTTTTAAAAAGTATTACTTACATTTATTTTTAAATCACCAAACAACTAAACAAATTCTGGAATAAACTACAGCTTATGGTACATTTATTTTGTACTTTTTAAAGATAATAAATCAATTTTTTTAAAATAATTTCATAGTATAATTCTTTTAATTTTTTAAATGCTATTATATCTAACTGTTTAAAAACACTCAAACAAACATAATCTTTTGACGTAATCGGTACACGTAATTTCTTCTTTATAATTTAAAACAAATAATCTTTTGAGATAAACAAAATTCAAAGATGGTGAAAATTATAATATGAAAAAGGTTAGAAATCTCTTCTTTCAACTGTCTCTATGACATCGTATTCTTCTGTATCCCTCCAAATAATTATGGTTAACATTAATTTAATCTTCAAAATATTTATGATATAAGTCATTTAAATATTGAAATATTAAATTTATTCTTTATTTCTATTTACAACTGAATAATATAAACTTTTAATTCTCAATTTGATATTAATTTTTTAAAATATTAAATTAACAATTTTAAATGTTAAAAAGTAATTTATAATAATTTTACTAAACATATTCTAAATTAAATAAAAATTTATTTAATATTATTACTAAAACATTTAAATAAATAATAATATAACATTAAAATATACTTATTTAATATACTAATGCGATGTACTGGCACAAAAATATAGTTCAATAAAATATGAGGTCAAATCATCTAATCAAACCTATAAATAATTTACTTAATAGAAAAAATTAATTTTTGTACATTACCAACATGACTATAATTTCTTTAATAAATATTAAAAAATGAACAATTCTTATTAATATAATAATTTATGATTGAGTCATTCTGAGTATTTGAATTAAATTCATAAAAAATATTACTACTTTATATAATAATAACAGATAAACTTTCCGCAGCCTTTCCTTTCCCCAACAAACGCCACACAGTAGAATAAATAATGAACAAAATTCTAGTAAGGCACGCTAAGTTAAGCGCTTACCTCTATTTATTTGCCATTCCAATGGGCTTCAAATGTGATCCCCAAACCCCAATTTTATGATTATGTCTTCATTCTTATATATTTCTTAAGCCTCTCTCTGTTCTTCATTTCTCAAAGTCAAACTACACCATTTCTGATCTCTGCATCCCAATCCAACAGATCAACATGGCTTCCACCGACGGTAAACGATCAAATCATTCAACCTTTCTTCCTCAATCCACTCTTTATTTTTTGTTTACAAATCGAAATCATTGATGTTTCTGTGTGGCTTTGCAGGTGCAATTATCGTGGTTATGGGAGTCAGCGGGGCTGGAAAAACGTGAGTGTGAGACCCCAATTTATTTAATATTATTTGGTTCACTAAAGGTGTTTTTTCTTTCTAGTAATTCAAAAACATTTTTAAAATAAGAATAAGATAAGCACTTGGTTTCATTTTGTTATAATTATGCTATTTTGCTGGCCGCGATCATTGGCACTTTTTTTTTCACCGTTAATCAGTTAAAATAGATGATCCTTCAACATGAGGTTGTGCTTCTTACCTCTCCTTTGATAGACATAAATATAAATTAACAATACAAAAAATATAACGGTGGAAAGGGAATCAAACTAAAGATGGAACCCACAGACAATGAAACTTGTTAAACAAACGTGAGTCACAATAACACGTCTTAAGTAATGTTTTGGTCTGCCAGAAACTAGGACGCATGGGAAACCGGAACTATCTGATAAGGTGCATCTAGGTTTGGTTATTTTTATTTATTTATTTAAAACAACTGCATTTTTATCTAAACTTTTTGAGGTTAAATCTGTGATGGGCAATTAAGATTTAACCCTTAGAATCAAATGTTCAAGCTGCTGAATGACGCATATTGGTAAATATTTTTCTTAGAAAAACTTATTTATTGGATACTTCTTTAACAGCACAATAGGTCGGAGGCTGGAAAAAGAGACCAAGTATAAATATTTTGATGCAGATGACTTTCACTCGGAATCAAACAAAGGTGTGTATACGAGTGTCCACATCTGCACACTTTCCAGCTGATAAAATAGATGGGCACGTTGATTACCCTTCAACGAAGGACTTGTTCAATTCTACCTGGTTCTTTAAGAAAAAAAAAAAAAGCTGAAAGTAAATATTTTTTTATTAAAAATCACATTGAGATAGATTAAAATTATTAGAATGAAATATTTGTAACTTTTTCTGACAAGTTTCCTGACATCGGTTAATATTTTGCTTTATTTCCCTTTAATCTGTTTCCTCCTCGTTTTTCTGAATACAACAGAAAAGATGCGTTTGGGAATCCCACTTACCGATGAAGACAGGATGCCATGGCTTGAATCACTACGTGATGTCATAAAAGAACACTTAATTAACAAAAAGGGTATGATTCTTGGTTGTTCTGCTTTGAAGAAGCAATACAGAGAAATATTTAGATCAGCTGTGTTGGATTATAAATGGGGGAGCTATTCGAGTGCTGTTACCTTCATTCTCTTGGATGCTCCTGCTGAAGTGCTGAGTGTTAGGTTAATTAAGAGAGCTGCAGAAGGAAACCATTATATGCCTGCATCTCTTCTGCAATCTCAGTTGGATTTGCTTCAGATTGATGAGTCTGAGGGAATACTTAGAGTTGATGCCACTTTAAGGCCTCAATCCATTGTAAACGCCATTCTAAACATGCACCGCTTTAAGGGCTGTTTTCAATCATGATTGTTTCGAATTTTGTTGATTAACTGGGATCACTGTTTCAGGTTTCAAATATAGTTGTACAAATAAAAGGAAGATAATGATTATGCCAAAACATGAAAAATAAAAAACCTGTAAATATGATCTTCTAACAGACCTTAGTTTGATTCTGGCCGTTCTATTTATTTTCTTCTATATTCTTTATGTTTAAAAAGATCCATGTTTTAATTGACCATTGTAATTTTTTCTCTTTTAATTGTTTAATTAAACTTATGTTATGAATAGAGACAGCGACTGTACATATGTTAAATCGAATGATGATAGTGCACTGCCCAAACTAAAACACGAAATGGTGTGGATCATGATTCAGTTTGTTTCGATCCATAATTTGATTTGATTTTACAAAATTCATAAACTTCGAAGTATCTAATTTTACAACTGAGCCTCAAATCGTAAAAGTTCTTGAAACTTTCTTTAACTTCATTACTTGCAAGCAAAGCAGAGAATTTCGTAATCTGCACTTTTTTGGTTTGTCTTCCTATAGAAAAGTTACAAGATTGTTCATCATAACATTAAAATGGTAACTAAATTTAGCAAATGTCAAATAATTTAACTGAAAAAATGATTTTAGCTAACCAAAGCATCACCATTATTACAAAAAAAGAAAAAGTTATATAAAAAACTTAATTGAGCGATTAATAACAGGTCCTTCTTTTTTTTATGTTTTTTTTAAATACAAAATACAGATATGAGTTCTTTTTTTATAAATAAGTCAGTGATAACTTTTGACAAAAAATCACTAAACTTTAGTACTTTTTAAATATTTTATTATTATCACTTTTTAATTTTTTCATCTACACTGAAAATTGTTATTGACAATTTTTAAACTACATATATCTATAATTTTTAAAAAAACACCGTATTTTAGTATATATTGTTTCTAAATATCATATATTACAAAATAATGCTAAATAACATTTTAAAATCTAACAAGAACCATAAACCACGATTAAACAGTAAAATTTCAAAAAATGTTCTAAAGAGGTACATAAATTGAGCTTGGAACAGCATGAGGCCCCTCAGCAGCACTTTCCTTTCGGCCTTGAAGAACGTACATTTCCTTTTTGTCACCCCAGCAAAGCCTTTATTTCTTAGCCTTGGGAATCTGAGCCAACGGTATTTTTCACCGCTTACAGTAATTTCAAGAGCTCCATTTTGGTTATCTTGATTTGATGCTGTTCCCATTAAGACACTTTTCTCTTTCTCAAGATTGTCTCTTGCCATCTTTTTAACGGCTTAAAGATTAAAATAATGCAATTTTAAAAAATAATTATCAAAATAATGTAAAAAAGAAAATAATTCTCTGTCTGAAACATTTTTTTGCCACGTCAGCTATAATTTCGTATAAAAGTCAGACCAAACGAGTTTTGATTAATTTTTATTTGATCATTTCATATTAAAGATGGACGAAATACAGGAAGTAGAACACATGGCAATAATTTCGTATAAGGATGAGACGAAAAGGGTTAAATATTTTGAAATAAAGTTTTTCGCCAGAAGACACGTGGCCCAATCAACGTGTTTCGTCTCTGCATCAGACGAAAGCATCCTTTTGTCTGACGCAGAGACGAAACATGTTGATTGGGCCACGTGTCCTCTGGCAGGAGGTCACCGAAGCTCTTCCTTCATTTCTCCTCTTCAGTTTCGAGAACACCCGCAAACCGCCATTGTTGACGATCTGGACCTTCGGTGAGATTATTTTTGATCATTTTAGATTGAGTTTTGAGTTTGATTCGTGATACATTGCACAAAACTGTCTAGATCGATTGGGTTTGGAGTGATTTGTGGTGTTGTTGTTCTGAAACTTTGAGAAAGTTTGGAGAACGGAGAATAGGAGGTCGTTGCCGGAGAGACGTTACGGTCCAGTGGAGTTGTTGCCGTCGTTGAGAACCCACTGTCGCCATAAAACGTGTTGTTTGCCCCTGCCGCCATCCCCCACCCCCTCTTCATCGATCCAGGTTTTTCAATTTCTGAAAAAAATTTAAATTTTATATTTATTAATAATAGTAAAAGGTTGAATAAAATTTTATTACAGTAATATTAGATTAAAAATTAGAGTAATATTAGATTAAAAATTTGTAGATATATCAACATAATCAGAATTTGTATAATTAAATTTTGACAGTAATATTAAGAAAAAAATTAGAGTTTACATTTAGAATTTGAAGTAAAAAATTTTAAAAATTGTAAAAAATAATTAAAAATCAAATAATAAATAGTTAAATAAAATTGAAAATAGAAAAATATAAAATAGTTGTATGGTTGATTAATTATATAAGAAATAATAAATAGAAAAAAGTGTAACAAAATTATAACATAAATTATTTTTTTTAGATTAAATAACATTTAAGAATATAAATTAAAAGATTGATTTATGATTAATGAACAGATAATTACAAAAATGTTAAGAAGGTAAAAATTGAGAGCATTAAAATTAAGCATATATATTTATATAAAAAGATTATAGTAGCAAAAATTTGAGTTTATTAAATAATTAAAAAATATATATTTATTTATGGTTAATTATGGTTTATGGTTTAAATTATTGGAGTGATATTAAATAATTTAAAATAAATAATTAGAATTATATAAGTTTATTTATGATAAAATAATAAGTGTATATATTGAATTTAAATTTTAGAGTGATACTAATAAGATGAGATTAAGTTATTAATCATAAAAAATTATAATCTTGGTAGAAAAAAGAAATTTAGTAATGTAATTTAAGTTATTAGAGTGATATTAAATAATATAGAATAAATAATTATAATAATAATTATGTAATATTATTTATGATTAAATTATAAATTTATTTATTGAATTTTTAATTTAGATCGATATTAATAAGATGAGATTAAGTAATTTTAATTAAATTATTTAATCTTTAATGAAATAAAAACTTTAGTTAGGTAATTTAAGTTACGGGGTCATATTTGTTCGTTGAGAAAAAAAAATTATAATTATAATTATGTAATATTATCTATGATGAAATTATAAATTTATTTATTAAAATATTATTTTAGAGTGTTATTATATTTCCTTGAATATTAAGTTATTTTAATTAAATAATTTTTAATTAAATAAGAAGATTAGTTATGGAATATAAATTTTTGGAGTGATACAAATTAGCCGAAATCAATTATTAATTATATAATTTATAATTTATCATGACTAAAAAATAAACAAAATTTGTATTTAGTAAAATTTTTAAAAAGACATGTTAAATTTAATGAACAAATAACTAATTTATTTAGTAAAATTTTTTACAATTGCTTATGAATAATTGTATTTGATTTCATTTGTATTACAATGATTATACATGTTATTTGAATTATATGATGAAGTAAGAACAGTTTGAGGTATTATACTTATGCATGATATGAAAATATTTTGTATAATTTATATTAAAATTTAAGATTTTGACGATGTTATATTTTATATTTTGTGAAGATGGCTTCATCTTCAGGACAGAATAGGGTCATTCATCCTGGAGCAGATGATCCTTCAGTATTACGTTTACAGAATATTCATGTGTCTGAACATATTTGGGATGGTCGAGATCATCCTATTTTGAAGGTTAGGAAAAGTCAATTTATTTCAGCTGGTTTGGATGGTGTTCTAGAGGAGATCCTTCCACATTTAGAGCTTGCGGGATTTACTGGAATTGCTCACGTATGTCAGTTCCCATTAGACCTCCCGTTGATCACTGCATTAGTAGAGAGATGGAGACCAGAGACACACACTTTTCACTTGCCTCCAGGTGAGTGTACGATCACTTTGCAGGATATATCAGTGTTGTTAGGTTTACGGATTGATGGAAGACCTGTGATAGCACTTATTGGAGGTAATTATGCTGATATTGTTGAGGAGAGCCTAGGGATTAGACCATCACGTGCATATTTTGTTGGTAGCTTTTTGAAGACGAGTTGGCTAGACTAACATTTTACCCATGTGGCGATGCCTGCACATAATCCTTTACAGATCACCCGATTTGCTAGGGCTTATATGTTGCGGTTGATTGGGGGTTTTATGTTGAGTGATCACTCCAGCAGTAGAGTCTCAGTGAGGTACTTACCTTTACTTCAGGATTTTGCTGTCACTGGTGAATATAGTTGGAGTCTGCAGTATTGGGATTTTTGTATAGAGAGCTGTGTATGGCCACCAATATTGATCGGCATGGTTTAGGTGGATTAGCTGCATTACTTGTGATGTGAGCATGGGATAGATTTCCATTTGTAGCTCCTGGAAATCTACTTCACACACGACTCCATCTTCCATATACTACCAGGTAATATTAAATATTGATGTCCTTAATATGTTTAACATACCTTTTGTATTAACAATATCTGTATCTTTTTGTAGATGGTTGGCTAATCAAAGGAATAGGAAAGGGAGGAAAGACATATCTTATTATAGATATAAATTTGACATGCTTAGTGGTGAAGAGGTAAACCTGGATTAACACCCACGCTATATGTTATAGTCATATTTTAATTTAGTTATCAGTATGAAAACAAATCTAAATATGATGTAATATGTGTGCAGATAATTTGGCAACCATATTCTATTGATTTGATTAATTCGTTACCAGCTATATGTCGTGAGGGGATGAAGTTGTGGAGGGCAGTTGTGGAGGGCTGTCGTGCCTCTGATATGTTTTCAGGTGTGTGAGTGGCAACAACCAGATCGAGTAATACGGCAATTTGGTATGGTTCAACATATACCTCGTGCCCCATATCAGCCAGATGCACTACATGACTTGACTCTGCGTGGGAAGGCAATAGAGAATTGGCAAGAGAAGCTGAGGGATGTATTAGACATTTGGGAGAGAAGGAGAGATTGGGTCATGATCAATGACCCCCAGATTGGTCAGCTAAGTTTCAACTCAAAGTATATGCGGTGGTATAGAGCTCACACTAGACGTTGGATGACAAGAGATGCAACTGTCTCATCATTACTTGTAAGTGTAAACTATTTTAGACATTTACTTATGTGTATTTGTAATGACATTGTTAACATACAATTTTTTTTGTTTTATAGGGCGATAGACTTAAGAGAGCCCACTACTTGATGACTGATGGCCATGATTCTTTCACCTTTGATGAGATGCGAGACCTGTATCAATCTATGCTAGTTTTGAAGAATGATTTGAACCGTATTATGGAACCTATTTCTTCATCTGAGCCTCCAATACAGAGTGGCAATACTGAGGATCCAGTTGTAGATGTCCGTCAACTGAGGAACCGTAAGGAAGGCAGGGGATCACAGCGTAGACGCACAGAGGTACATGCAACAGACTGGTCTCTTCCACCTATACCTGAGCGTCTTGATGGAGTATTCTATGTTCCCTCACAGTATTATAGGCAATGATGGTCCAAGATTAACCATACCTACACAAAACAAAAATAAAAATTAGTAAGTATCTTTATAGAGAAAATACATCACGAAATCAAAGATTATTCAAAACTTACCAATTATGCATGAAGAAATCAAATCTGAATCTAGTTTGGTATGGTCTTGAGATATTGTAGAGTTGAGACATTTATGCTTACCCCCACACCTTCTTATTTTCCATTTCATTGAATTTTTTAGCAATGATGCTCTTATTCTCCATGGGCAACCATTGTTATGGTTTAAACACCTCACATGCAACTTTATTGGTTTTGACTCAACAACAAAATAATTCTGATGTATTCTCATTGCATGTTATTTTAAGGCATTTTTAACTTTATCTTTTGAGTTAAATAACAAACCTACATGTAACGAATCTCCAATAACCCATGAATTATCTTCGCTAATTTCTTCTGCTTCAATTTCTTCGTCTGGGTGGTCCCAATTAATAGATTTGTAGTGTGGACTTACATTCCAAAAAGGTATTTCACTTACAGCTACATTTAAACATACAATATTCATCATTAAAATAAAATAAATAATTTAATTAATTTACTTTTTAAATCTTACCTCCAACATTTTCTTGTTGTAAATTTAAGTTTGAATCAAAATCATCATCAATGTCTGTATCTGACAAGCTGTCTAAAGGAATATGTCCTTCATCAATATCATCTGTCTCATCATCACTATTGACTTCATCATCTTCATCTTCATAACTGCATAAATCTCTACATCCTTCAAAATACAAACACTTATTTAATATATGTTGTCACTAAAAGAACTTTAAAAATAAATTATAACAATATAATTTATACCTTCTGTAACATTTATATTGACCATTTCTATAAGGTTAGGCGGTGATATTAATAAGCTTAAGTCCAACATATTCGACCTACCTCTTGAACTTTCACCAAATACAATATCCACATATAATTCAATAAGACTTGTAATACTTTGTTGTTGATATGCACTAATCATACAATCAATATCATCATCATCACATATATCCAATGCATTATATTGTTTAGCTCTTGGATCAACCATAAAACGAGAAATTATTCTAGATATGACATGATTATTACTAAGATTCAACTTGTCATGAATCTTTTTCTTTAAATTCATATAACTTATCCCTCTTCTTATCTTTATCATTTTTTTGTTACCTTCAAATGTCACACCTTCGTTTCCAACAATAATTTTTCCATTCTAATATACAATAATAATAATCTCATTCATTCTGCATTTATAAAAAAAACATATCAATAATTATTTACAATTATACTTATTTATATAAATAATATAAATAATTTATTTGTAACACACAAACATATTATTATTTTTCACATCATTTTTATATTATAAAAAATGTTATATCTTTAATACATATTCAACTTATATATAATAAAATATTCACAATAAATATAACATTATTTTTTTAATTAAACAAATTTATATTAAATATCTACTAAACTTTTATATTTTTTTATAATTTTCTAAAATATTAAATTTTAATTTTAATATACACAATAATATATTTATTAAATATTCATAAATTTTAACTATCTCTATTTATAATAATTAAAACTTTTTAATAACTAAAATATTAAAAAAAGTTTTGAAATTTACTAACCTCAAAAATTTGCTTTCAATCTTCAAACTACAGGAATAGCTTTCAATTTGAGATTTAAATATATTCCTTTCAATTTCACGACCTACCTTTCAAATTTTCACGCTGATTTTGACCCAGATTTCAAACATTATATATAGGAAATTTTGGCTGGATAAAAGGGTGCAGCAAAGGTGAAAGGACCGCAGGATAAAAGGACTTTCATCTGGGATATAGGCGAAATGACATCTTTTCATCCTAATAGGAGGCGAAATAAGTCCTTTTTTCGTCTTGTTTGTGGACGAAATTATAAGATTCAAACACGTGTTCAAATCCTATATTTTTGTCCTGGATTGAGATGAATTTCTAGTATTAAGACACCTGTCCTTCGTTTCACCTCTGACAGATACGAATTGAGTGACAGAGGTCAACATATAACATATTTCGTCCCTCTTTTAAACGAAATAATTAAATTTAAAATAAAATAATTATTTTTGTTTGATTGGTATCGAAATACATGCTGACGTGGCAAAAAAAAAAAACCCAAACAAGGAATAAGTTTTAATTTGATAATTATTTTTTAAAAAAGCTTTATTTTAATCATTAAGCCCTTTTTAACCTTGCTTCTTGAGGAGCAATCTCTGTCTGGAACATTAAAAAATTGATGAGCAATCTCTTGCCATCTTGTTGAATGTAGTAACACCAATCACCACAATAATACTGTTTAACCATTATTTCATTTTCTCATAGTTATGTGTTCTGTTACTTACAACACCAAGCAACCGTTTTAGTTACACTTGTTATCCGTAGCTTCAAATTTCAGGACATTTTGTTTGTATCTAGATTCATTCGGCAATCATTTGTGAAGCCATTGCCAGGGTTTATCATGCATCAAACACACTAAACAAATTCAGGGGCAAGAAAGCATCATTTATTCAGATCGTTATAGTTAAAGAATCATTTCTCTGTAAAATATCTAGTGCCTAAAGGTCACTTTGCTTTCTTGCTTCAATTTCAAGTCACTATAATTGCACCCATATCAATATATCTGGCACCGTCAAATTCATATTTATCAACCTCAGATTGCTATTGTTGAAGAATCATTTCTCCGTATGATACCTATTGCCCAGTGCCTAAAAGCCAATTTGCTGTCTATTTTCAATTTCCGAAGCATTTCACTAAAACTGCATCAATATCAATACATCTAGAACCAACAACCTGTGACTAATATACTGCATTTCACTTTGTCCATTATTCACTTAAACAAGAAAAGCAGCATTGATCTAGGATACAATCATTTCAAAGTCAATCAGTGCCAGCAGCGTAAAATAAAACACTATTCTTATACTGTGAAGTGTGAAGGCTTTTCCTTAAAAAAACACTACTCTTTCTGTTCTCTCTCTCTCTTTCTCTGAACCAGTTTTATCCCATAAACATTCCGAATTTTTTTAGATGAATTCGGACCTACTAATTTAAGCCATAATCCATTTACACAATATCCATGCTCAGAAGATACAAGGAATGTTATCATAGTAAATTTTAGAGAAACACACATGTGGAGGGCTCTGCGGCTATATTATTAGCTCAAAAGGTTCAAATATTCAACCATTCATTGACAAATATATGTTGCGATGTAAATGAAACAGGCTCTTGCATTTTTATTTTTTTCAATCTTACCCTGTCCATTTATTTGCATGTTTATGATGTAATTTTGCATTTCTCTATCTGTCGTGATCCTATCATGAATATTAGCATCTAATACTTCCTTCAACTCTTCACACCTTATCTACCACTGCCTTTGTTCACAGAGACATCTCCTTGTGCAAAAATCCCAACAACTTGAGATCACACCTCATCCAAAATAATCTTCTTAGCAAAATGTTTAGAATCGCGTTCCAACAATGTTTAAACTCAATATGACAAATTAACATAGAAGCTACAACCAATAATGTTGGAAAAGAATATGGATTCAAGACTATTTAAACACAATTCCAAACACTCCTAACAAATTATTTTAGCTTATTTTGAAGAAAAAATCAATTTTTTTTCTAGTGAGCTTCGTAAGAAAACTTTAAAAAGAAATGTGATTATTTCCTCAAAATTAATCCTAACCAACCGTGCATAACATTCAACTCTCTTTCCATTTCAAGCTCACAAAACAGGTTTGCAAAAAACGATAATTCCGTTTCAAATTTAGGCTATTCATTTTCAAAGAAAGTTAATTCCACATCATTCGATAATGAAATCTTACAGAGTAAAAACAATACAAAGTAAAAAGAAGCGATATTTATGCAAGAAAACACACTTCTTTCTTTGTTTGAACCTTTCTCTGTTTTTATGCGGAAATCGCAACGGAGAAAAGCAGGAAAAAAAAGAAGCAATTTCCTCTGTAATTTTCAACTTGTGTACTTGAGACCAAACAAGGCCTTCAAGACTTGATTATGAAAATACATATGTATCATCAAAACGAAAGCTCGTGATTAGCAGAAGACATGAGAATTGACGATGTTAAACATCATCTTAGAAGATGATATACTATGTTATTTAAGTTTGACATATGCTCATTATTTAACTTCGTTTGAGAGTTTCATTTTTCTGTTACAACTATGAAGTCATCACCATTCAGAGGAGCGAGACGAAGCTCCATGCGAAAGTAAAAAATCAAAATCAAAATGCGTGAACCAAGTTCAAAATTGAATTTGAGTTATTATTTTTAATACTAATCATTTTTGCCTATTGTTTTTTATTTAAGCAGTTTTTAAGTTGCAAATACAAGTGCGTTTTATGTTTGTAAATAATCATAAAAATTAGAGACAAAAAATTTTATTAGAATTAAAATAATACATTCATTTTTACCTTAATTTTATTTGATATTAGACTTACGTATTTTTTTTAGTTATTAACTATAATGTTTAGTTCTTTGGATTAAAGTTTTTAATTTTTTATTATTTTTATAAATAATAATAATGATAGTAGCAGAGTGAGTAAAAAGTACTTAAAAAAAATTAAAATATCATTTTTAATATAATATTCATACATTTTTTTTGTTATTATTTTATTTATTTTGTTTTTTATACTATTATTTTTGTTATTGTTTTATCTCTGTATGACGTAAATATAATTTAATTTAGATTTTATTTCTCTATTTTATATTTGAAAGTAGGTATTTTTTTCAAAATTTTTATAATAATAATAAATAAATAAATTTATGAAATAAGTTATAACGTTAATGTGTAATTTTTTTTATCTTCTTACATTATTAAATTGTTAAGATTTATGCGTAATATATATCACCTTAAGTTTTATGAAATAAAATTTATTATATTTTAATTTTAATTAATTAAATAAATATTTTTTAATTAATCAAAATATA